AAGCCGGCATTAAAAATCAGCTAAACAGGTATGTACTGCTCCTACAGGAAAGCTTTTTTGTAGTATTTTGTGTATTTTTTTTGTATATTATTTCAGCTAGCTTAACTCCTGGGTGATTTTTATTAGTACCTTACGCTCACCCCAATTCAAAGCTTGATTATTCTACAAAAAAGGTATTGTACGTGGATTCACAGAGAGAGAAAAATCCTGACATAATAGGTCTGAAAACGAGTGTAGTTTATGGATACAAAGTCTGGTAAATGGCATGTATAGCTTGAAATAAAGTAAGTATATAGTAGGGTGGGCGGAAACCGCTTCTAAGAATTCGTAATAGTACTCCTCCCTTTCTTAGGAAAGAACAGTTATGTCAACACTTATTTCATATTCACTTCTTAATCCGTAGTTCACTTATATGACTTTCATATGTTCACAGCCATTGCTTTATCAATTCACGGGTTTATTGCTAACCAGCATAATTACCACCCGCAGTTGGCTTGTTAGCTCAGTTAGTACAGCACTGCACCGGTATCACAGATGTCATGGGTTCAAATCCCGTACAGGCCTGAACGTTTTTTCAGGCCTTATTTTCACTACTGCTTGAACAGTGTCCATTACTGCCAATATCATCTTCATATTCATAACTTTCATTGTTAAACTGTTCAAACCTGCTTTGCTGTAGAGAGAAAGAGAAACTTTATTCCTTAAAATCTAACCATTAGACATGTTACATGAAAAGCTCAGAAATTACTATGATACCTTTCTTCACAGCTGACGGCAAACTCAGTCCTGAGGAGTCTAAAATCATGACGTACAAAAGTATATATGATGTCAAGAAAATCCTATGTCATTTCAAAGCCACCGATACGAACCATGACTTGTTTGTGACGGCTGGAGAGCTGAAAAAACGATTTGAAGACTTCAAATATGACATCACTCCAAACGGCCTAGCTGAGTTTATCAAGGAGGGCGACATTGATGTGGTGGATAATAAATTCAGTTACCACGGTAGGGAATTTATGATGTTAGTATCATAAATAGGGAGATAACAGAGCTCTGCTGTGGCTGAGTGGAACAATATCTGTGGGAAGAGTGCATACTTCTTATTGCTCGTTGTGAACCAAACTATACATTGCTAAAAGCGGAAAACACTTATACCCTATAACTCACATGATCTGATTGTTAATTCTCCCTTCTAGCTGTTACACATTTCCTTGTAAATCAGTCACGAGAATTTGGTGTTAGATCAAGACTACTAACGTCTACCTGATAAGTTTAAGTATTCTCATTACCTGTTTGCTGGATAATGTGTGGATTTTATAGTGAGAAGTTACATGTTAATCTTAGGGGAGTTAAAGGGTTAAGACTCGCAAACTGAACAAAAGGGAACGGGGTAGGAAAGGATAAAAAGAAATAAGGGACATTATTATTAGTATATCCTTATGTTAATCGCTAATTGGAGGTAGGTTCACCCACTAACATTGTTTCACAAACCGGCGGAAAGTATTCTTATCGTCAAGGAATCTTGTAGTCTCATATATATGACGGCTACGGCAGTCCTGGGGGAAATTTAAATGAAACGTTTTACTGTCGTCCATTTATCTTTGCCCCCATTACGAACTCTTTGATAAATGATCTTTATACATAGTAATAAATTTTTTTTTCTTTATCTTTTAGAGTTCAGCACGGCAATGTTTGGTGTTTAATACCCAGATTCTTGTGTGAACCTCCGTAGAAGCATCAAGTCAATCAGGCCTACGAAACATAGGCAGCTGTTTTACTTGTTATTAGGGAAGTTTGATGAAATATGTTTCGTCACGTAGATTTCTAATTGTGGGATATCTCAATAAAGAAAGTAGTAAAATTATTTATCGAGCCAGTTGCTAGTTGATTTTGCACGCTACAACACGAAACATTGTAATTCTTTTTGTTTGTAATTCCATTTGGTATATATCGATCCGGCATGAATATTGCGCACAACACACTTTTTTTTTTAATTCTTTAAGTGGTCACTGCTACTGAGGCAAGCACGAATAACAGCTCTATTGATTTAAATTTTGTCTCCAGTCTTCATAGAAATCGGTGAAACAGAATCTTACACTGACGCAGCTGTCAAGTTACATCCGCACTTATAATCACTCGCTTCTCATCGAATTAGAAAAGGTAAAAATGCGAAAAGAATCAATAATTAGGAACATTTCTGAGCCACATGAGACTGATATTGAGGCCATACCAATTGGAAATTTTTATACGAGGAAATCGTATCCAAAAGTCTTTTCAACTGTTTTGACCAATATTTTTACAACGTCTTATTTTAGAGAAAGCCGTGATGATTGAAACAAATAATTACTTCTAATTATAAGAACAACTAATTACTCTAGAGGCAGAGTTAGCCTTAGTACAACAATGAAAGGGAAGCCAATTGGTTCGAAATGTGCATCCCACATGGCGTATGCAAAAGCTGTCCTCAGGGAATGCCGATTTTGTTCCCGTGATCGTCAAACCACTCTGAGAAGTGTAAACCTGAACCAACATAGAAAAGAGGAAATTTCTTCGCCTTCCTTAAAGATAACATGTTATTTGTTGAATTGATTCAGCTGTGTTAAGTTGAGCGGATCCAATTTACAGCTTTAAGTGCATTTACAGGAGTAGTTTCTCCCTTTTAGCATGGTAAATTGGCATAAGTATAATATTTTCTCTGACAAATGGATTTTAAAAACTAAAAACACTGCATTAAGAAAGGTAGAAGCACTTTGTTTGATGGCTAGGCGCAAGATCTCGAAAAGTGGATTCCAAGGTCTTATTGAAAAACCAAAACGAACTTCTACTTCCTAGCATAAATAATAATAGACATGGTTTTCTTTATTCATTATAATCAATATTGTTTTTTAAATAAGTTTGATTAAAATGATTGATGAAATACAAATCATGAGATTTCTTGAAATGAAAAATGATGTTTCGTAGCGGTATTCATAAGAATTCATAAAAATGCGTATTCTTGTTTCTTGGTTTTTCCATGATTCATCTCGTGTATTGTCGTGGAAAAAGAGAAGACTCTCATTTTTATTTTAAGAACAAGCTTTGTTTTTCACAAACAAAGGTAAACGAACCCCACTTCACCTTAAAACGGAAACAACGAAGGCAATATCAAGTGTTAAGTGCTTAGCTTACGCGCAGGTCACATGATATTAAGGACCTTAAGCAAACCACGACGGCGACGGCAACGAGGACATGGAAAAACAAAAGATCTAATGGGCAGAACAATAGCTCAGCAAGTGCGTTTTAAAACTTTGTACATTTCTAAGCCGTCCTGTGCAAAACGATAACGTGAAATCACCACAATTTGCGTCGTCTGCGAACCGAAACCGCGACGGCCAATTATTTTAATTTCCATTTGGAACTCAACGCTTCTTTAATACGTTATGCTGAAGTTGAGGTGTGGCGCCGTATGGGATGGTAAACAAATGGAGCCATTTTTGAAATTCTAATTATAGGCAGAAATTCATTTTTTAATCGCAGTCGTCCTTAGCGTTACAGTCCTGACTGCTTAAGGTCCTAATGAGGATTGTGTGAACTGCGAAAACTGGCAAATACACGCTATCCACTACGACCCATACTTGCTGTTAGCTGTTGATAGTTTTGATCAATTGATATATTCTCTTATAGTGAATTTTATTGTTGTGCAGATTTTCTGTTGTCTTGATAATTGGCTTTTTTAGCGAGTTCTCAGAAAATAATGTTTTGTTTGCTGTCATATTGATGTCATTTTAATGTTGACACGATGATTATTTGTAATACTTTTTGTTAAGTTAATTTCTTTCAGAGACTTCTAGAAATTTCTCTCTAATATCATCATTTCTAATTCATAATTTCAAGTTTATCGTCTGCCGAATTCGCCATCAGAGACGAGTTTCTACATTAATTTTAAGATTTTATATATAATCATTACTCTCACTTGAGGTGGTGTTAACCGTAAATATTTTATAATTTCATCCACTGCACTGAATCTGTGATAAACAATTCTCTTTAATTTATGAAAAGGCGGTGTGTTCAATTTTTTTTCCTTATTGACTGGTTCAACAATCTCTTCCTTATTTAGTTTAACCTTAATTCTGCCGGCTTATTCGTTGTAATTTTTATGTAGCAAGTCTTATTTCAGCTGACCCAGATCTCATCTTAAAATATTAGATCTAGAGATGATAAGGGGAAAGTCAATTTGGAAGGAGTAAACAGCTCGAAAGTAATTATTCCAAGAACGAGATCGGAAGTAAGCTCCTGAGTTTGCTAATTAGGTTTTCAATTGGCGTGAATCGAAAGGCGCTTGATTGACAGCCCGGCTATTGCCATCTTGATCAAGGCTGGTGCAGCCATTTCTGGAACGCTTGAGCCAGTCACCCATGTGAAATGCGACTAGTTGGGTCTTTTAGAAAAAAGACAAGGTAGTGTTGAGGAAATGCTAGTTTTAACCAAACTTATAATAGAGAATTGAGAAAACTGCTTCTAAATCCAGTTTTAACTAAGGTTATTTGTTCAATGATATAGAACTTAGATGCCACTGCCTCATATTAAATTTTGATCCTCGGTGCCAAGGATGAATAATATAGATAAGCATCCAAAGGAGATATTAAAAACCTTTTTTTTTCTTTTTTTTAACGTGGCTCATGGAACATCCGTGCTTATAGTTGAAAATCCTATTAAGCGTTTTGACAGAAAATTATCTCAAACGATTGGCTGTCACTTAAATTAACAATAGCTAGCCATAGCTTAATATTTTCAGCCGTGGCCCTTTTAAGGTGTTTGCATTACAAAGAAAGGGAAGTGCATAACATCCGTCTCACCACGGTCAAACGTCATTCGCCTCCTCCCACGCCAAGCATACTACCCTCTTGAAGCGATATTTTTGTTACAGTAAGTATAAATTACATTCCTGCCTTAGCTTGTTATGCCTTAAAACACGCTTGCCTTTTCTATGATTTTATTTGTAAGAGAGAGAGAAAGAGAGAGAGAGAGAAAGAGCTATTGTAGATCGGCGTTTGGGTATCTCCCATAATTTGACCTAAATGTTTCCAAGATGGTCATTTGAAATCCAAGTTAATCTTCTCCGTCTCCAAACATCGTCAGCTTCTCAGTGTTTTTTATCCATACAAACAATTTTTTAAAGGTTTCTTTCCTTTTTCTAAGTCAAAAAGTAAAGGAAATATCTTCACCTTGAGCCCGCTTTGAAGTGAACAACACTGTTTGCACTCGATTCATGATAGCAAGTTTTAAAGAGGATTTTTTACACATCAAAAATGTTCTCTCCACGGCAATGTTTACTTATGCTTCCCGGACGAGGACATTTCCGTCCCGGTATAATATTTCCTCGTTTTTTGCAATGCAGAGCAAAGGGTTGAAGGTCGACGAATTGTCTCTCCAAACTTTCGCAATGTATTCTCGCCCTCTTTTTCGCGACGCATCTTACCTAGAGTCTTCAGATTTATGGAAAACCCCTGCTATATAAGCTGATACAAATCTTAAAGCTGATACAAACCCAGCAGCTTCTCGTCAGATCAAGAAAAGCCCCCCAGATACAAGAAATGAAAACAGGGCGTTTTTCAGGGATTTCGCCCAAAAATTTATAATTGCCAAATTTTGCTTACTAAGATGAACGTATTCGAGAGAGAAAAAACAATTGGTCAAAATGTTTGGCGTGACTCCTGTATATTCTTTTGGAGTTTTAATTAGAAATATTTACGTACAACCGATCACTGCAATTGAAAGACTTAACTTGGCAGGGGATGATAGAGTCATGAGGATCCTGTTGGGTCGGCTCAGCTCAATAAATTTCCTTGTTAACAACTTACTCTGAAAACAATAGAATTGCAATAAACAGTTTCATGATTTCCGGAGTTTATTTTAGAAAAAGAGGCCTAGTGATGACAAAGTAAATAAATATTGGCGATCCACAATCAAAGCAACCATTTGAAGCAAAATTTGGATTGAGTGCGTCGATTTTAACTGCTTTACGAGCTTTCATAATGCATGAATTTGACTTTCAACACTGCATATTAATTTTGTGGAACCAAAATCGCTAGTTTTTTTATGCAACTTTTAGTACAGTCATAACCATGGTACTAAATCCAGTGTTCAACAGTACACCAGCTGCATTTCACTGGCAATTCATGCTCAACAGCCGTTCTCTTTATAGGAAATTGATCTAAGTATTTTTGATATTGCTTGTTCAGGCCAGCTCTGTTATATCAAAGACACATCTATGATGCTTGCGGGGTCAAAGCTAACAATGGTCTTAGCAATAATCTGTATGATGGAGAAAGGTAAAATCAGATTTCACTCCGATCTATACATTGCAAGATGTTTACTCCCCTCACCTATGACAATACGTTTGACGCAATCTTCTCTCTTTATTTTTTGATTCTTAAAGTATATGTTACAGCTACTCAGGCCCGCAGATCATGGCTCATGTTAATATAGGCAGACCAATTTTTAAAATCTAACAATTTTTTTTATGCTTGCATTAAATATTCTTTAACTTTCCTTATTTCAGTTTTGGCCACTGATCAAGGGCGGACAAAATATCTCCAAGAGGGCAAGGGTAAGAGATTGTTTTCTTTCCTTTTCGTTTATTTACTTAAATCGATTGTTGCGTCTTTACTAAGCTCCATCATTTAGAAAAAAAAAACCTTTCTAAAAAACCGAAAGAGAGCTGAAATTACCAGTTACGGCAAGTTGTTTACAAAAACAGGAGAAAAATAAAATGTAGGTGCGAGGGGAGGGGATACATCTTTAAAGAAACGGTGGTGCTACGTCTGTGGGCCACCATGGACAGTTCCCGAAACGTAAGCTAGTAAATGTAAGCCTCCGTCAGAACA